TATATATATATATATATATATAGTGGTGAGTAGTCTCCGACGAGCAGCTACGTGCACAGCAACCAGCGAATGAAGAACATTAGCGGCGACGTCGGCGCCTTCCAAGCACCTCCGCCGCGGCGGGCAGCGTGAGCGGGCGCATGCCTCGGCAGCGGGCCACGGGCCAGGCCGGGCAGGGCACGCAATTGAAATAGCTCATTTCCAAAATGACGTATATCAATTTTCATTTGTTATCGAGTTTCGCGTATCACTAATATTATGCGGTCCATGACGTTATGTTTGGATTGTTTTCTGTCGCAGGGGCCCGGAATTGACCCCAGATTCGAATGGGGATGTGTAATGGACAGTGCGGGATTGCGGCAGGTACTACTGTTTTTGCCAATATGCATCCACTGGTATGATGTCCTGCCCTCTCGTATCATTAACCATTATTTCGTTACCTCAGCGAGGTATCTCTAGTTCACGGGCGTGATGAATTAGAGATTTGGAGTGGCAATCGCGAGGAAGTGGGGGACACCGCGCCCATTAGACCCTTAGATGATGGAGAGTCGATGGAATACCAGGCGAGGCGAAGGGGTAAAGCTTCGTTGGGGATGGCATGGAAGATGGAAAAAACAAGAGTTTAGCTTCTTATCAATATCCTCAAGCCGTCTCTCCAGCTAGCATTCAACGAACCAAGAAATATACTTTAGTAATAATAAATAATAAATTAATACACAGGCTGACTAGATACACAGAACGGCCTATGTGACGAATGGGACCACAATTCCAGTTTAATAAATCGAAAATATTAAAGTAACTTTTTAGAATTCTTCACCTTCTTCCTCTTCCTCTCTTTATCCTCATCGTCCCTCATTCTTTCACTTCTCTTTCCTTTTTATACCATTTCTTGTTCTCCCCCTTTTTATTAATCTTCTCTGCGTCCCGAATTTAACATAACAATTGCAGAGGTCCCTGCATAACAAAGCCTGCAATACATACACGTTACGTGGGTTGCCTAAAAAAATTGAGAGCCGGCAGCAATTATCGTTGCTCATTCAATCTAAGGCGACAGCCAAGACTTTAATAGTATGTTAATACTTATAAAAGTTGACGACCGCTACATATAATAATAGAATCCCGAACAATGTTCTGACACAAAGTATTTTTTCAAGTCCATCGCTACGTTACGTGCAATGCATTTCGCGGCATCAGGTAGCACCTCTCTGCGAATCGCGAGCTCTTTGCTCCATTTCGACCCACGGTGGGTCATTGAGGGCGACCGTCACTGCCCTCCCCCAATCGATGGCGAAACAGGCAATCGAGTTGCATCTCCGCACGCTGGATCGATAATATCGAACGTGTGGGTAGGATCTAAGCACGTTACTCGCCGACTGTGGTGAAATGCTCGTGA